TGCTCCAGAGCAGATGAGGAACTAATTAGATGTGCCCTGCGGCACCTTGAGGTTACTTCAGATATTCGTCCAGACTGTTGGTTATTGAAGTGGTGTTGGAGGAGGGAGCCCGAAGCAGGAGTGGGCATTGTATTTTCCTCTCCTTTGTCTAATCTCCCTCCTCTCTTCTTCGTCTGTGTATGATATCTCGTCTCATTCTGTCTGGACACGATCCTGATTATTGGTACTCATGAGCTGTTGACATTTCTCTGGACTTGCATTGTTGATAACTGTTCCCACGATCTGGGTTCATTACAATTTGGTAACGGAGCATCTCTTCATCGCGACCTGCTGTCTTCTGGCAGGTGCTGACGTGGCACCCAGGTAAGTGGGAGGTGCCGCAAGTGCAATATGAAACGCATTTATTAACACGCGCGGTCATACCGCAAGTCTAGACATGGTAGTAGTGCACTTGCGAGTAACCGTCCGTTGAAGATGATGACAAGGCTACGCTGAAGCTTGAAGAGCTGCGTTGGCAACAGGCTGACGTGGCATTGGTACCGCTGATGTGGCATATTGTTGCTTGGCAGGATATGGTTTGACGTGGCACGTATCTGTGCCGTGATTACCTGCTGATTGGGCATTGACGTGGCATGCCGGTGTATGCGTGTGACAAGCACACATTGCTGACGTGGCATTCCCCTTGTATACCTTCGGATTCTTGATGTGCTGACGTGGCAGACTCCAACGAGCTGCTGTGTTGGCACGCCAGGGGTGACACGTGGCATGTGTTGGGTGAGTTGTCGAGTGTGTTGGTCGCTGCAGACAGTACAGCTATAGAGAGGGGAGTCTTACAATTGTTTGTGATTGTTGTGTTGGTTTCCTACTTACCTGTTGGCTGTTCTGTGGTGTCCTTGCATACTCACCTGTGTGCTGATGTCTTGATCACACGGGCCGTGGCTGCGGTACTTGTACACATGCTGTAGGATGTCATCACACCTAGAGTAGGAAGAACAGAGCGAAATTAGAGTTAGGAATTGATTGGAAATCAGTTTCTTTGTAATTACCTTTAACGATTCTTGCTGTAAGAGTAGCATGCGTCGTGGAATTTATTTTTGTCTTTTAATTTTATTTGTTGTGCGACATTTGCATGCTTGGCAGAATAAACTCTCTTTGGAAGTGTCTGCGAGCCTCTATCTTGACTCGGTTCATACCCCTCTTCTTCTTTCCCATCCCTCTCACCGTCTTTGTTGATGAAGGGAGAGTGGAACTGAAAACCCGTGGACAGATTGACGGGAGGAGACAGACTTTGTTGGGTCTCCTTCGTCAACTGCTTGGCGAAATACATGGTGCCGGGCCAGATGCTGAACAGCATGTTCACGGAATCACGGACAGGTCAATCTGCGTGATGCAGAAGGAGACCTGCTAGCCGCTGAAACTGCTGTTCAGATGATGGAGACAGGCCAGAGAGTCGAAGAACTCATAAAGCAAGGACGATTAGTCCTTGATCGGTATGTCGCCAAGGGCCTTGAAAAGTTAGACCGGAAAAGAAAAGAAAAGAAAGAAGAAAGGGTTGAAAGGAGAGAAGCGCAACTGTCTGTGGATATGATGGAGGAAAACATTCGACAACTAGAGAACACATTGAGAGAAGAGAGAAGGAAGGTTGAAGAATACCGAAGATTGAAAGAGCAGCAAGAAGAAGAAGAGAAAGTAATGGAAGAATTGAGGCAAAGGTTTCACTACGAAGAAGCAGGAAGCGAGGTTGCAGCTATTCTCCAGTCTATCATGGTCTACCTCATGCATCTCGGAAAGAAAATTGACCATAACACCGCCGCGATCGAGTCCATGACTAGAATGATGAAAGGGAAAGATAAGGTAGTGTATGAGGAGGTGGCCAAGGGGGAAGAAGATAAGAAAAAAAAACAGAAGAAGCTAATGAAGGATGCAATGAAGGATGCAATAAAACGGGACACGCCCGAGAAACCGGAAGGCTCCAAGAAAGAACCTGAGAAGCCGGATGAGAAGAAAGAAGAACCCACCAGAAAGAAAGAAGAAGCGACGAAAGAAGCGGAAAAACCTAAGAAGAAGGAAAATGTGAAAATGAAGTTACCATTCACCTACAGTAACAAGAAGGATGAAAACTTGTCGAAATCCAGACCTACTGTACTATCGCACCCGTGGAACCCGAGAGTCAGGTTGCTTTCTCAACATCTTGTTTAGGAGGAGTGGCCAAGGAATGGGTGTTGGCTGAGGCCAATGCCGCTGGCTTTGAGGATATTGGTGAGTGGGCAAAGACCCTGACGTTGAGGCAATTTCTCCAAAAGATAAAGGAGAGGTTCCTTGACAAAACGACGGCCGACAAGGCTTTTGACGAGCTCACCACCATTAGCCAGAAATGTTGGACTTCTGTCGATGCGTTGTCACGTGAAGTTGATCGTCTGTTGCAGGTACCTGGATTGAATTTGCCCGAGCCCATTCATGGACAGCTCGTGGCCGAATCGAAATCTGGTAAGTATAATTATCGGCAGTTCCGCGAGCTTGCTCTTCAGAGAGAGCAGATGACCGCATAGGTCAAAGGTTCGTACGCTTCGGTTGTTAAGTCGGGACCGGTTGGTGGGTACGGCAAGTGGGTCCTTTGGCAGCAAAAGCGTCAGGACCATATGCTTGTGCTGTTCGACGACGAAACAGTAGAGAAGTTACCTCTTGATGAGTCTGAGGGAGGAGGAGGTAACGGCGGCAGTGAATCTGGGAAGGGTGATGTCACTGCCGTAATGGCCAATAGGGGAGGCCAAAACCAGTGGAAGAAGAAGAAGAGGCCACACTCGTTTCCCGAGCATCCCGACATTGCGTTCGGGAGACCTTGGGAAAAAATGAACATGACTAGGGAGGAGTGGCAGTCCAAGATGGACAACCGCCAGTGCCTCAAGTGTGGCACTGTGGGACACGTGATCGCTTGGTGCCCACTTATCCGTAACCTAAAAGCGAGCAGCCAATAGGAGTAGCATATGCTCCTACTGAGTCGAAAGGTATAGACGAAGAAAAAGGTAAGGCGCCTACAACCCCTTTTACCCCTTCGACTCTCAAGGCAGAGGATGACTCTTCTTCCGCCCGTCGTCCAGACCACCCTGACACTGTGCTATGTTTTGTTTCACTGGACGATTCCCTTGACAAACTCGGCAATGAACTAATAGCACTACGGAGTTCGTGGGCGAAGAAAGCAAAATCAAAGGGTGAGTTAATGATCGCGGATGTTGAGATTGCGCACACGCGAGTAGGTGCTCTGTTAGATTCGAGATCGACGCGGTCTTATATCTCAGAGAAGGCAATTCGAAAATTGCATCTGGGAATGAAGGTAAGAGATTTACCTAGACCTATCATGTCTATACTGGCTGATAAGAGCACGATCACTGTCTCTCAATACGTCGATCGTGTCAAGTGCTATTTCAGGACAAAGGAAGGTAAGATAATTCTACACTAGGTATCCTTCCTAATTGAAAAGAATTTACCTTTTGACTTAATTCTGGGTATGGATTGGCATGAGGAAGCCAACCCAGAAGTCAAGTTCAAAGATAAAATTGTCAAACTCAAGGACGATAAGTCCGAAATGCGTGTGATAAAGTTGTACCATAAGTATGGCTCTGACTCTACTCTGTCTTTTTGTTGTATGAGTTACCCAACTTTTCGATCGATGGTAACAAAGAAGAAGTTAGATCAGGAGGTGATGATGGTGCTTGTTAAGCGTGTAGGTGAGTGTTCCTCATCCTACCCATCTTCTATTGAAAAACTTCTCAACGAGTACAAGGACTTGCAGACTGAGGCAACGGGAATCACTGAGCGTGCTATCAAGCACACGATTGAGATCATTCCAGGAAGCAAGATCCCCAAAGGTCCCATTTACCGTATGTCTTCCAGGGAACTTGAGGAATTACGGAAACAGCTGCACGAACTTACTGACAAGGGATGGATTCGCCCTAGCTCATCTCCTTATGGTGCACCTGTTTTGTTCGTGCCCAAAAAGGAAGGTGAACTTCGCTTGCGTATTGGTTATCATGGGCTGAATTCTGTCACTGTTAAAAACGCGGAAACTCTTCCGCGCATTGACGATCTATTAGACCAACTACAGGGATGCAGGTATTTCAGCAAGATTGATCTCAAGTCAGGGTACCACCAGATCGAGGTGGCTCTTGAAGATCAACACAAGACGGCGTTTTGAACAAGGTATTGTCACTACGAATTTGTGGCAATGCCCTTTGGTCTGACTAACGCCCCTGCAACTTTCCAGAGGTCTATGAATGAGTCGTTTCGTCAATGGTTGGACCAATTCATAATTGTCTATCTCGATGATATCCTAGTGTACAGTAAAACACTGGAAGACCACGAGAAACATCTGCGAATGGTTCTCCAGAAGTTACGTGAAGGTAACTACAAACTGAATCCTAAGAAATCTGAATTTGTTAAGCCTGAAGTGCTATACTTAGGGTATATAGTGAATGAAGAAGGATTAAGACCAGAAGAAAAGAAGATTCTAACAATCCGAGATTGGCCACAACCTAAAATTAAAACTGAACTCATATTTTTTCTAGGACTTGCTAGTTATTATAGGAAGTTCGTCAGAAACTTCTCCTTGATAGCTGCTCCTATGAGAAGACTGCTAAAGAAAGAAAAAACTTGGTTGTGGGACAAAGATTGTGAGTCGTTATTCAGGAAACTGAAATCTGTTTTGACTCACTACCCTGTCTTAAAGATTGTTGACCCTTCTTTTCCTTTCATCGTCACGACTGACGCAAGTCAGTATGGGATTGGCGTTGTGCTACAACAAGACGACGGTAAGGGATATAGACCTGTTGAGTTTATGTCCAGGAGGCTTCCGTCAGAGAAAGTTGCCAACTCCACTTATGAAAGGGAGTTGTACGCCTTAGTCGTTGCACTAGATACCTGGAAGCACTACTTGTTGGGAAGGCATTTTACTGTCTACTCTGATCACTCTACATTGAAGTGGATCAAGACTCAGCCTAGACTCTCTGACAAGTTGGTAAGGTGGTCCGCATTCCTTGACACATTTGACTTTGAGGTGAAAACCATCAAAGGTAAGTCTAACGTGGTTGCGGATGCTTTGTCCAGACGTGCAGACTTCTTTGGAACAATTGTCTCTTATCTCGATATTGGGAATGAATTGAAGGAACAGGTAAGGAAGGGTTATGAAAATGATTCCATCTGGAGTCCCATCATTGAGACTCTAAGAAAGAACCCTGAACTATTCCCAGAGTATCGAATGACTGATGACTTACTCTTCTTTATAGACAAAACCGAAGAACGATTGTGTGTTCCTCACCACGAACTGATTAAAAGTTTAATCAGTGGGGAATGCCATGATGCAAAAGGACACTTTTGTTTCAAGAAGACATACGCCGATGTTCGAGAAAGATTTGATTAGAAAGGAATGAAGGAAGATGTATTAACCTATGTGCGGACTTGTCTTGTCTGTCAGAGGAACAAGCCCTTACATGAGAATCCGATGGGACTACTGAGACCATTGCCTATTCCAAGTGAGCCAGGTGAGTCTATCTCTATTGACCTCATGAGCCTCACTAAGAGTAGAAACGGCAACAGTCAAGTAATGGTCATCATCGATAGATTCTCTAAGTATGCTATGTTCATTCCTTTGCCTGCTGAAGCTAGAACCGAACTAGTGATTCAAAAATTTCAGATGCGATGGGTTTCTAAGTATGGATTTTCGGAAACCATTCTCTGACCGAGATGTTCGGTTCACTAGTCTACAAGGGCAGAAGTTGATGGAAGATCAGGTCGGACATACATTCGCAAAAGTTGTTGGCATAGACAATTCATTTGCTCAGTTTGACCATTGGTTTCAGGATGTCTGCTTGACGACATGGGATAAGAACTTACCCAAAATTGCTAGTGCTTATAACAACAGCGTCCATACTGTCACAGGTAGAACACCGAATGCACTTCATAAGGGTTGGAAGCCTCGACGCCCCATTGACGCCCTGACCAGAAATCAGATTCAGAGGCTACCCCCGGGTACACGTGAGTTTGCAGTTTTATATGAAGAAGACATTAAGAAGGTAAAGGAAAACATACAAAAGGCCCAATTACAAATGATTGAACAAGCTAATAAGCATCGCCGACCTTCACAGTTTCAAGAAGGAGATTTTGTATGGGTTAAATCTAAAGAGTTTTCCTTAGAAGAGAATGTATCTCAGAAACTGCTACCTGTTTACTTTGGACCCTGGGAAGTTCTCAAGGTGATTGGAGATGCAGATGGACCGTCCTATCGCATTGACATACTTCCACACCTAAGGACGTACCCTGTCTTTCATGCGTCGAAACTGCTGCCCTAAGTGACAACTTCCCTAGTAGACCATCCATGTTTCCACCTTCTATGAATGGAGGCTATGAAACTGGAGCATGGTTATTTCTCTACAGGTGGCAAAGGACGACCATAAAAGCAGTACAAGGTAAAGTTCAAGTCTCAACCTCCATCTGAAGCCAGATGGTTTAGTTGGAAAGAACTTCTACCTACTGCTCCTGACATTGTTGCTGCATATGAACGTGGGTTAGGATAAAATAGTTGTATTTTCTGCGATGGAACTCGAAAACTGGGACGGCAGGAATGCAAAAACCCATGCCATATGTCTCGTGGAAATCTGAGGGCCGACCTGGCCGCCCTCAGCCAAGCCAAAAACGAGGTAAGGGACCCACCACAGAGGGATTCAGGGCCTGGGGGGCGCCACAATTGACTTTTGTCAACTGTCGGGATCCCAACAGTCAGTCCAAAGGTACCCAGTCCAGGCCACAGGTCAAGCGCACACACGTGTTTGTATGCAGGTACCCAGACATCATCAAGTCCAAGGGGGAATTCTGCAACTGTACAATCCAGGCCTTCGGTTGTGACTCAATTTGGACGACTGAAGGGAGGGGACTCGAGGCCAGAGAGCCTCGCCAAACACTACTTAAAGTGGGACCTCGAGGTGGTCAGCATTCAGTCTTGCTATGCTGGTTCAACGCTGGCTTGACTTTGACTTGACGCTGACATTATGCTAGCGCGACGCTGGCTGGACGCTGGTTGTGCATTAGAGCTGCGGACGACGACACGAGGGAGGGGCGACGCTGGCATTGTGGGCCAGGCATGCTGACGTGGCGCTGCCTCTGGTACATGTGGTGCTGCCTATGGTCTACGTGGCATGCTGACGTGGCGCTGCCTATGGTCTACGTGGCATGTTGACGTGGCGCTGCCTTTGGTACAT